CTGCACAGGACCCTCCGTGCAGGGCGTGCAGCCCAGCCCTGGCCCCACACACGCTGTGCTGGCTGTGCTGGCACCCCAGAGCTGTTACCCAGGAGCAGAGGAAGTGCTCTTGCATAGTTTTGAGGCCCCAGGCATGACCTCTGCGTTGCTGTGAGATGGGAACGGTGCCCAGAATCACATCCCGCCCCTCCTGACAGCCACCACTGACTCAGCTGCTTTCACAGCCCAGCAAATCCGAAACCACACCAGAGGAAAAGGTTCCTTCCCAGCCAGACTGGGCTGACAGCTTCCATTTGAAACACTCTGCAAACCTAACTCCAGTTCTTGATAAAAGAATTCTCTCTTTGGTCAGAGAGTTGGATCCCCACTCCCTTGGTCACAGAGGTGTTTTCCCAGATGGATAACAGATCCAGCTCTGCTTGCCATAAAAATCTCATACACTCTTTTCTCCAGCCCCATTTGCTAAATTTAGCTGATCAATTACCACTGAAAGCACAGGAAGTGGATGCCCCAGTGTGAGTTTTTCATTTGGGCAGCCTCCTTAGGGAAATAGTTTGGTTGTGAAGGGAAGGGGAAGTATTCACAGAATGACCTCTTGGTTTGGGTCACACCATTTTTGTGAATGCCTGAGATGTGGGAAGTTCCCCAATTAACTTCAGGTTTCGGGAGGTTTGTACTCTCACAGTAATCTGGGTAAATGGAGGGGCATTCAGGAGCTGCCAGAGGATGCATTAGAAGTTTTAAGGTGTCTCTGTAAATGCTCTTTTTGGGGGTTCTGGGAACACTTTTCTTTAAAAATGACCTTTGAAAGCTCTTTGAGGAAGGCACAGCCTTACTCCTTGTGTTCCTCGTGCAACAGCCTGAACAAGGGAGATTTGATCTGTCCCTGGGATCAGGAGATGTTCCTGCAGCAGGTGTGGGCCTAGAACCAAAATGACTGCTTCTTATTTTTTAATCCTTCATCAGTTATTTGCTCCTTCAGCCTTCTGATGGGAAACATTTCCTTATTAGCTTTAAAAATAACATTTTAGTACCAGAAGACCAACACTGAAAGCAACATGCATAAAAGAGTTTTAAGACACAGATTGTAACAGTGATCTGATGAACGTGTTCCCTTCCTAAAGGCAGACAAGTCCCTTATCTCAGATATTCTCTGCTTGTTTTCCCTGGACAGGATCCCTGTTTTCGGCTCTGAAGCCCCCTGAAACGATCTTCAAGGTGATTTTTTGGCTTGGCTACTTCAACAGCTGCTTGAATCCCATCATCTACCCCTGCTCCAGCAAGGAGTTCAAGAGGGCTTTCATACAGATCCTGAGATGCCAGTGCCACCGGCGCAAGCAGCTGGGCTGGTGGCCCTACAGCTACAGAAACTGGAACCGCTGCTCCCTGGAACACGCCCGGAGGGATTCCCTGGAAGACAGCGGCAGCTTCCTGAGCGGCAGCCAGAGGACTTTATCCTCGGCATCGCCCAGCCCCGGCTACGTGAGCAGGATCAGCCAGCCGCAGCTGGAGCTGTGCACGCTGCACGAGTGCAGGAACTGCAGCTCCCTGCTCAGCCCGGCCCGGGAGGGCGGCGGGCAGCAGGGCCACTGCCAGCTCTTCACCTTCCAGCTCCTGCCCGAGCGCAACGGGCACGGCCCCCGCGGCTCGGGCCACGAGCCCCCGGGCACGCCCTGAGCGGCAGCGCTGCCCGCGGGCGAGCCCCGCTGAACGGGCGGCTCCGAGCGCCCCGTGCCCGCCGGACACCGCCCTGCACCGCGCCAGCCCCGCGGGAGCGCACGGAGCTCCTCCGGGAGCTCGGGAAGGGAGCAGGAGGGACGGGGGCTCCATGGCGCAGCAGTGCCCAGGGCAGGGACTGACCGCCCGTGCTCCCCGCGATTCCCGGAGAAGCTGCGGGAGCGGGAGCAGAGGGCAGCGAGGGTCCTGCACACGCCCTGCGAGGGGCGCACGGACCCCGCAGGTGTCCTGGGAGAGCTGGACAGACACACACACCTGCAGGGACACAGGGTGGCATGGGGTGGGCAGGGGTGGGGGTGCCCAGCTGTGCCAGGGATGGATGGATGGATGGATGGATGGATGGATGGATGGATGGATGGATGGATGGATGGATGATGGATGGATGGATGGATGGATGGATGGATGGATGGATGGATGGATGGATGGATGGAGCAATGAGGAATGCACCGAGGTCATTCCTCTCCAGGTTGTCCCTGGCTCTGCCCATAATTCCCAGTTGTTCCATACATCGCTGTACACTCGCACTTTAGAGATGGAAAACAATGATTAAAGTAATTTCTCAACAATTGAAACACTTACTCCTGTTATTGTAGGGCTGGAATTCAGCCACGATTCCTCCTCAGGATTCTCACTACAAAATAAAATACTCATGGCCAATGGATTTGCCATTGTGGCTCGTGGGACACTGTTGCTTCTCTCATCACCAACACACATAATTCTTCCATCAGGAATTAGTTACAGGAGTTCCATCACCAGGATCTCTTTGTCAGTTTGAAAATTGTGGAAAAACACATGGATCTGAAGGAAGGACTACAAAGATTACAGAGGACAAAGTCCGATATGCCATTTTAAAATATGGAACTTTAGCAAGGCCACCTGACTTGTCCAGATGAGATCTCTTCTGAATACCTTCAATTTTCCCACTGGAATCTTTTACAACCTCCACCAGGCAAAGCCAGACATAGGAGGCTGTACGAATCACCCTCTTCCTTATGTTAGTCCTTCTTCTGATGCAATGTTTTCCTTTAAAGGAAAAGCTATTTGGGCCAGGGCACAATCATGTGGGACAAACCCATTTTTTATTACAGCCAAAATGAATTTGCCAAGCAGAACTTGCAGTGGCAGTGGCACGTGGTGGTATCTTTTTTATGCTCATTCACAAACTTTCTGATGAATCCATTCTGTGGGCAAACAGATTTGCCTCTCTAAATGAATCGCTGCAATTTAGCACCAAAGGTGTTCATAAAACACTGAATTTCCCCAGGTTAAGCTGCCATGTGTAGCTTCATCCCTAAGGAGGGGCTGCTCCAGAGCCACTCAGTGGAGAGGCACAGCTGGAATGGCTCGGGGAGCTTTGTCACAGCACAGCTGTACAGAAATTAAACCCATTAGGCTTCAGTGCACTCAGCTCTCAATGTGTTGCTTATTTGTGACAAGAGTTATGCTAAAACCAATCCAGCTGAATGAGGCTGGAGCTGGAGAGCATCCTGCATGCTTTGCTCTTTGGAAGTGCAGCTTCCCATTATCTTTACAAATGTGGCGTGGAGAGGAGAGGACATTGGTATTACAAAGTACAGTTCCAGTCTGGAAAATGTCAAAATAATAACTTTCTATTCAGCAGCTGAGCTCTGTGCTCTGGATTTGTGTGCTTGACTTTCACCTCAGAAAAATGAGGAGAAAATTGCTTGGCACAGGAGATAATCACAGCAATTATGGGATGGAATTATTGGTGTGCTCACACCCGGTGTTCCTTATCCCACACACTGACCAGCTCATCCCCCTGGGAACGCTCTGGATTCTGGCTTGACTCACTCCACAGGAGAGTTACTCACCTTCTCCCCAGCTGCTCTCTGGCTCCCACATTCCAAAGGGCAGGACACAGAGCTCAGGGCTGGAGCATCACACAAACACCACCTGCACCTGGGGAGGCAGAAAGAAACACCTCACAGCTCACAGTACACACCACGCTGGGTTTATGTCGGTGGAAGCCTGAAATGTTTGCACCCACTCTGATTTTTTAGGGACTGAAAAGTTGCAGCTTTAATGATCCCGGGACAACAGGTTTGTCTGCTTGGGTTGGAACTAAACTGAGGGGATAAATCAAGTGTCCCTGGGGAGAAAACAGGGCTGTGATGCCCATTTATGTCACTGTGACAGGGACAGCTCCCCCTGCACCCCTCTGCTCTCCTGCCTACTTAAAGCAGAAAATTACATTTCATTTTTACTCAGTTGTAAGCTATGACCTGGCTTTTTCCCAGAGTAGCCAAAATTCCACTGCCACACAAGTGGAAGGAGACAGGGAAAGGAAATATGGGACTGTTACTGGGAATCTCCTACAACAAAACACATTGAGCTGTGAAGAACATGCTCCCTGTCTAGCAACTCCCATAATCTTTACAGCATTCCAGCCAAGACATAGAGAAAAAGAGAATGGATACTCAAAATTCATAAGAATCCATCACTGTTTCTCTAATAAGTCAGCCTAAAAAGCAGATGTAGTAAAACTTTAATTTATAGCTGTGATTAAAAAGCCTTTAATTGCCTATTTCACAATTTCCTTTCAAAACGTTCTTTGGGAAGCACAATCATTCGATTCCACTGAGACTTGTGTGCAAATGTTTAATTCTGGTGAAGAACCTGAACTTTCTGTGACCTCCAGAAAACATCAATTATATTTCCCTTTGCTTGATTTGTTGAGCTTTGGTTTCTTCACTGCGAAGATCAAAAAAAGCTGTCCAGAGAAGTAAATGTAACGTGTGGCCCGGAGCCTGAGGTAGTTGTGCAACATTTGTCCCCTGTCCTGGGCGGCTGAGAGTCCAGCCCTGCTCTGCTGGACGCGGGGAGCTCCAGCCCTGCTGGCACCAAACGGGACCAGTTTGGCACGGAAAGGAGCGGGGACCTGGCTTGGAAAATCCAACATCGCCACCTATGGGGTTTCTGTGGCGGGGAGAGGCACAAATCCCCCGATCCGCTGGATTCCCTGGGTTTTACACGACACTAATCCGGCCTAGGGCAGCGGGGGAGTTGGATATCCTGCGGTCAGTAATTGTAATAAATAATGAGAGGGTGCTTTCCAGATCGCTGGGTTTTATCAACTCGAATTGCACCTGGCTCACGGGCATCGTGTTGAGTCTTCTGCTGCAGGCAGCACGATTTAGGAATTTCTAGAGAACAAGTCAAGTGCAAAACCTCACGAGTCTGTGGCTGTTTGCATCCACAATGATCTGTGTTCCATCCCCCTGGCACAGGTCAAGCCTCCTTTTGGGCTCAGATTTGGAATATTTCAACACTTTAATGTTGTATGAAACCAGAGTTGGGGTGTGAGGCTGAGCAAGAGGAGCGTCATCCCAAAGTTCCAGGGGAAAACCCGAATATTCCTGAGCTGTATGAACATGAAGTATTCATGGGGAGAAGCAGGTCCATGGGGTTGGACAGGGCCAAGAGCCGGGGCTGGATCAGGGACCAGCGCAGGCTGGGGATGCACAGGTGGAGAGGGAGAGCTGGACACGGGAACAGGAACCCCCAGCCCCTGGGCTGATCCCCCAGCGCGGGCAGCAGGGAGGGTTTGGATCGTGCCCCTCAGGTGTGAGCCCACCTGCCGGCCCGAGCAGGGGATGCAGCAGCTCTGCTGGGAGGAAGGGCTGGCACCGCTGGGAGCGCTCACCTGGGCAGGAGAGCCTTTGGGGCGCCCTCAGCGTGGCCTCACAGTGCCTGAAGGAGCTGCAGGAGTCATGGAGAGAGAGGATTTACACCAGTGTGGCCCTGGGGAGAAAGAGGCCACGGGCAGAATGAGGCATCTGCCTCACCTGCCCTCACCTGCCCTCACGTGCCCTCACTGCCCTCACCTGCCCTCACCTGGTCTCACTGCCCTCACCTGCCCTCACCCAGTCTTGCCTGTTCTCAGCTGCCCTCCTCTGCCTCCAGCTGCCTTCCCCTGCCCTCCCTCACCTGTTCTCACCTGCGCTCCCTGCCCTCACATCAGAGAACTACAGTCCCCGGCATGCCCCGCGCGCGCCCCCTGGCTCACTGGCTGCCGCTGCCGGAAGCGGCGCTGCCGCGCCGGGGGCGTGGCGGAAGCCGGAAGCCGGAAGTGCAGCTGGCGCAGGTGAGTGTGGGCCCGGGGGAGCCGGGGGCGATGGCCCCGATCTGCTCTGGCCCCGGTCTGCACCGTCCCCTCCGCTCCAGGCCCTGCGAGCCGGGCACGGCGCCCCGGGGGTCGTGGTGGGGCTGGAGGGGCCGCGCCGGGTGAGCCGTGCCGGGAGCGGCGCGTGGGCCGGGCCCGCGGGGCTGTGCCGGGCTGGCCCCGGGAGCTGAGCCCGGCAGTTCCCGCGCTCACGGGCGCAGTGTCCCGGCCCCGTGTCTCTGCAGGGCCCCGAGAGATCCGAGCTTCCCTTAGGGATCCCTTAAGGATCTGATATCTGAGTTTCCCTTAGGGATGTCAAGAGCACTTTGGAGCACTTTAAGGATTTTTAAATGTGGATAAGAGAAAGTAGATCATTAGCCACATATGGATGTGTATAAATATACAAGGGAGGGGGCAGAGCAGGGCCAGGCTCTGTTCCTGGGCCAGCAGCTGCCCTGCCCGGGAGGCAGAACTCCTGCCCCGGGCAGTGCCAGCCCTGGGCAGAGCCCAGAGAGGGGCTGGGGTCTCCTCCCAGGGGTGTTCAGAGCTGCCTGGACACACTCCTGTGCCCTGTGCTTGGGAATGCAGGAGGTGGCCCCACTGCTCCCCTCCAGCCTCCCCCCCAGGGTGCTGGGATTTGTTTGCTGATGGGTCTATTAATGCTGATCATTGCGTGTCACTCCTTTCTCACCTCCACAACCCCCTCCCAGGAGTCCAGCATGGAAGAATTTAAAGATGCAAGCCCACCTGAGGAGTCACTGAATCACCTGAAGCTGTCAGATCAGAAGGCTCCAGAGCCTGGCCCCAGCGATGCCCA